AGATATATTATTATAGAGTGGGTATTTGAAAGAGATTAAAAGTGTTTTGGAGAAATAAATAAAAAAAAGTGATTTTGAAATCAAACGGAGGAGAGAGAGGGGACAAGCCCATGTGATAAAGTGGAGAGAGAGGGTGTTGATTAAAAAAAGGATTGTGGGTTTGAAAGTGGAAATACGAGATGAATCTGTTTTTTTTTTTTTTTTTTTTTTTGGGGGGGGGGGAGAGTCCATTTTCATTGGAACACGATGAGAGAGACAGGGAGCGAGAGCCGAGAAGGAGCCTGTTTTCAACTTAAAGAGCAGCCCCCTGTTTTGGTTGTTCTTCTCTTTCAACTAAAGAGAGAGCCCATCCGAGCCCGAGAGAGCACAGGCCGCCGTTGCATGCTTCCTCTGTCATTTTCCATTCCAACACCAGCGGCGAGTAGGGATTGGCCTGGGCACTAGATCGGCAATTGTAGTAGGAGGCGCCACGTCTGGTGTAGGGTACAGTGTTCCTCTGAAGCGCACCGTAGCTGATGTAGCGTGTGGAGGCTAGGATGCGCCTGCTGACCTCAGAATTGAGCCCGAACTCCTCGTCGTCGGCGAGGCACTCGGCGATGGTCCCCCTGCATCCGGATCTAGTGGTGGGTAGAACCCCCCACCCGACCACCAACTGGTGCTCGTGATCCACACTCGCAACGACGCCGTATGATGAGAAGAAGATCAGAGTGGTGATGAAGCATAGTGTCAAGATCTTGGAAGAGGTAGCCATTGTTGTTGTCTTTGAAGCTTTTTTTGTTGTTTTGGTAACCCTTTGCTATGTGCTGTGCTGTGAGAGTCTCTCTCTCTTTCACAATAATAGCAGGCAGGGAAGGAAGGGAATTGTGTGTTATAACTAGTTCAGGTTGATTAACTGACCTTGTTTTACATGTTATTTGCCTTATTGCCATTCAATTTGATTATTTACCTTTTTTTTAATTAAGAAAAACAAAAGAGAGAGGATTTGGGCAATGATGGGAAGGTATGTGTAGAAAATAAGCGAAATAGATTGAGGTCTGGCGGACGGCTAAGGTGAGGTTGCCGCCCGTCGGTGAAGCGAAAAATGCTAGGTTCTAAACCTGCTCTGATACCATGTAAAATTTAATGTATAAAGAGAAATAGAGAGAGAATAAATTATATGTATTATTGATTGTATTGAATATGTTTACAATGATTCCTATATATAGAAGAGTAGAGTAGGTAGGTGTGTAGTAGGTGGAGTAGGTGGTAGTAGGTGGAATTTTAACACAAAGAAACACAAACATTTTCTCTGTAATCAAAGAAACACAAACATCAACTCAACTCAGACAACACAAATTCACATACATTATTTAGGAAATATAGTTGATAGATAAAACTACAAAAAAACACAGTTCAAAACAAATCATAGATAAATTGTAGATACATTATTCAACAAATCATAGATAAAACTACAAAAAAACATAGTTCATAGATAAATTATAAAAAACACAGTTACCTCAAAAAAACACTTCAAAACAAACATATGAAAAGACAAATGTTTTTTTTTTAGAATAGTTACAAAACCCATTTTACTCCCATTTTACAAAACCCATTTACAAAACCTATTAGTTAGAATAGTTACAAAAACATATGATAAGGGACTTTACTCCCATGTCTTCTCCATTATCGCTTCTGTGAAAATAAAGAAAATGGCACAAAACCCATTTTTCTTTTTTTGCAACAGAGAACCTCAAAACATCACAACAACTCTGAATAAAGCAACTCTCCAATATATGGGTTGTCCTCAGATATAATACCTCAAAAACTCCATTTCATTGCAAAGAGAGACCCAATCTAGGGATGTTTGAGTTTTGTAGGCCGTAATTTGCAGACCCAAATTGAGATTTCTTCTTCCCCGAAAGATGGCGATAACCCAAAGGAGAAACCCAACTGAGAATTCCTCATTTTGATATACATATCAACCGGTGATTTAGAAATTCAGTGGGAAAAGAAAAACAGAGAGGGTGCAGGGGAAGGATTTGTGTCTTTAATTGTGATCCAAACAAAACCATTCTGCTATCGGGTTTGGATAATTTTGGGTCAAACTTCTCAGATAAGCTCAAAAAAAGAGCATAGTTTTTGGATATAGAAATACTTACCAAATAAAGAAGGGAAGATCACACACATACTACTACCCTGACAGCCCAAACACTAACAACTCAGCAGTATAAATTGGGAATATAGGATATCAAACAAAATCAGTATTAGGCGGAGAGAGAGAGAGAGGAGAGAGAGAGAGAGATATTTACATACCTATGTTGGAGAGCTCAAATCGTTTGATAGATTGCAGATTGTTACAGGGCTTGAGAGAGTAGAGATAAAGAGGGTGAGAACAGAGAAGGGAGAGGGATAAAGACCAATTACAGAGAGAGAGAAGAGAGAGAGATATTTACATACCTGTGTTGGAGAGCTCAGATCGTTTGATACATTGCAGATGGTTACAGAGCTTGAGAGAGTTCCATAGCTTGCAGATCACAGAGAGATAAAGAGGAAATGGGGTGGGTGAGAACAGAGAAGGGAGAGGGATAAAGATAGAAGGGAGGGGAGACGTGGGCAAGCGGGAAGGTGAGAAGACGTGGGTAAGTAGGAAGCTCAATCTTTGGGCGGGAAGTAAGTGTAATATATATTGATATATATTTAAGGGGTCATCTCAGCCATCTATTTAAATAGGCAAATGAATCTTCACCATTCAAATGTCCTAGTAGGACAATTGTTTCTATTATAAATTCAAAAATCCTCTTCCTATATTATATAGATTACTATTTTTTTGGAGCTATGCGCTATATATACTTTTGTAGCCCTTTTCCTGGGTCCGTTAACATATGATCTGTCATCAGTTTCTGTCTTGATCATACAAATTTTTGGGGCTTCAGTTACAATTCCCAGCTGGACTTGCAATCTTCAAGGTGGATGTGAAGTATTGTTCATCAGGTTGATAGTTTCACAGTCTAAAACATGCCTAGTTTTGGTTTCTTGTACATTCTAAATAAAATAAGTCCAAGAAATTGGAATGTTGTTCACATCTGTTGTTTTGCGACATTGCTTGTGACGCTTGATGAGCAAATGATATGATTGGTTAAATAAGATAGATTCAGCCCTTACTGCTTAAATTATGATCCTGCAATGTCATTATTAGTTCCTTTTGATTTGAGTTAACTAATCATCAACATCAATATGAATTTAAAAAAACATTATCCATGTAGATACCCTTAAAAGGTGTTGTGTTCTTGTTGGATTGTCACACTCGGCGGACATGTCCGGCATGTATAGGACACGCTCCTGTGGTATTACCTCTTTGCTCTTTTTAGAACCTATCACTCTTTCGACACTTGGGGGACACATGTACATCGCTTTGATAAACTTCAAACACATTGCAGGGTTAAAGAATATAACTTGGGAGTCAATGATTAAAATGAAAATAATGTGAATTTATACCTATTAATATCGCCTCCTCTAGGCTTTTAAATTTTAAGGACTCCAAAGACTTGAACTTCCAATTTGTTTGGAAATAAAAAATTTTAAAATAGATATTAGTAATGTTGATTCAAACTTTTTTTTTGAACATATACAATGTGGAAATTGATTTCTAACTATTTTGAAGAAAAAAAATGATTTTTTTTTTAATTTTATATTTTCATATGTATATATGAAAATATAGATTTATTTGTTTTTGTGTCCCCGTTGTGTTCTTGTCCTGACTTTAAGATTTCCATGTCCATGTCATGTTTTATTTGGGTTGGTATTCACGCCTCTTAGTTAATAGTACCCTTGATCATATATCCAGCCAGCAGCTTTGATGATTATTATTTTAACAATTTGTAGGATTAGCTGTTTCTTTTTCCGTTGTTTGAATTCTGAAACTGTAAGACAAAATCTATCACTGTTCCTTTCATCTTAGATCTCTTTATTATTTTTGTATTTGGTTATTGACATTTATCATTATTATAAAGTTTTTTGTGTTTCTTTATTATTTTTCTTTTTGTAGTTGCTAACCATATTAAAGTAAATTTGTGTTTTGTTTTTGTTTTCCATTTTAACAAATCCGAAGAGCACAGCAGAGTCTTTGATTTAGCAGAGCACAGCCCAACTGTGATTAGATTGTATCTTTGATTTCTTGCTTAGACTCTGCAAGAACTGCTCTCTTATGGTAAATAAATCAATTGTATATCAAGAAAATATAATTGTATGTCATCATAACAGGTTATGGATGTAGCAGATTTTTTGGTTAATACAAAACTATGTTTACTTATATCTGGGGGTCTACCTTAAAATGCAACAATGAACCAATTAATACTACTTGAAAGCAATGAAAGGAGTGCTACTGAATCGGAATTAGAAAATCCAGGTGAAATCACTGTAGTGTTTTGCACATTCATACTGCCCAATAACACCAAAACAAAAACATTCTTTGTACTATTTTTAGTTGTGTACTCAGGGAATGCATGATTTTTCTGGAATCACAAGGACAGAATGCTTTCCTATGAGGTAGATAAAGAAAGTATATGGTGACAAATCAGAGAGCATGCTTTGTACTATTTTTAGTTGTGTACTCTTGAGTTAAGTAGTGACAATTCAAAGACTCTGCTTTGTATTATATTTGATTTTGTACCTTTTCTATAATTGTATTTTTTTCCTGCTTCAGCAAGATATTTCAGTTCTCTTCATGTTTCGGTAGTTTGGGCTGCCTTTTTATGGCATTTTGATACCATTCATTTCTTATATCACTGATAGCATGTGTCCATCTTTTAGACTTGAGTCATTCCACAAAAGCAAGGACAAAAAATATGAATATTAACAAAATGGAAAGTGGATTCTTCACCAATTTTTTTTGTAAGTTTTGAAAATGACATTATTGAAACTTTTTTAAGAACATTGTCTTGTGCTGAAATTCGTCTCAAATGACTTGAAATGTTTTGTTTTGTTTTGTTTTGGGGTGGGGTTTGTCCTGCCATTTAAATTCGTCTCAAAACTTTGATCAACCTTTGGCGATTGAAGATGTAAGATTTTGAGGTAAAAACATTCATTTTGCTTTAGTTTCACACTGATTCAGATTCTTTGTCCTGCCATTTAAATTTGTTTTTAACATAGTAGTTCTCTTCAATTATTTATTTATTTATTTATGTTAATTACTTGTATTTTACTATGCAGGCGTCGTCTATATGGAAACACAAATGTGGTCAGGCATGTTGTTAGCATCCGTGGGATATTTGATCAGCTCAACTGATTTTGTATAAATGAGCAGTTCTTACAATTTTAAACATCACACTTTCAATGTTGTCTAGTTGACATGGAATTTCAATTTTTTTTCTCTTTCTTTTGTTATTTTCTTGTCCTTTTTCCATATTTTTTTCAGCAATAATGTTCTTGTTTGTTATGAGTACTTGTAAATATTTGATCAACACTGTATATGAGTTATCCAAAGCCAAAGTAAGTGTTGCCAATTGAGCTGGTACCTGTTCTCTGTTTCATGCATGACTACCGAAAATCATCTATTTCATAATTTTGATTATGCTTATTGTTTTGTGATTTTCGTCCACAATGGAAACAGATTTAAATGTTGTTCTCCGAGGCGAAGACTTTCGGATAGGTGTCACGGTTTGAGATTTGTGGGCCAGACTATACACAAACACAACCTCGTGTGGCACTTGCCAAAGTCCTGCTAGCAAATCCACCAGTATTTTCTTTTCCCTGTTAACATTTATGGCTTGAGATGTTTGTGTTAGGATCGGGGATCCCGCCCAAGACCTTCCAGAAATTATACCAAGTAGAAAAACACACCCACACAGAAGGAGAAACCATATTTTGTTTGAAGTCTTGTTGAATTGCACAAGCATGATAATAATAGAACTATGATAATCAAACAATTTAATCAGACTAACTGTAGTCCTACTCAGAGCAGACTCAAGTTAAATTGAGATTTTAAACCAGTCCTGTTCATGTTGAAATGTGGAATTTTTGAATCCTTAAAAAAATATGCAGATTTTTTACCATGTCCTTTGGCCAATTAGATGAAAAAATTGTCCATTTTCACATACATATCGTTCATTGCTATCAATTCATCATAATCATAAATGAAAATATTCAAAATTACATTTTCCTTATTTTAAGATCAATACATCAACATCCAACAAAAAATTAGTGTGTAGAGAAATTTTTTAAAAAAAGAATGACAAAAATACGGACAAATCTATTATCTTTATATGTTCCATGCATAAATTAGTAGATAAATATAAAATCCAATCACACCATAAATAACAAGATGAAAAGGATCACTCAATGATTAGATGGGAAAAAAATAACAACAACGATAGAGAGCTCTAATTTTGGAATTTTAAAGAAAGTTTTAGTGATATGATAAGA